ACAACATTGACCTACTCACCTTATTTGCCCTTACCCAGACAGCAATATAATATTATTTTAACATTTTTAGAATATTTAGGAGTTAACATTAATGTTTCCATAACATTTTAATTGCATTATTTTAATATTATTGAAACTTTCTTAGAATATTAAATGGTCATTATTTGTCCTACCTTTATAAGTTTCCTAAAATGTTATGAAATTAACATTCTGAAAATATTCTTGTACTGATCAGATCAAAACATTTTGTGAATGTTACAGTAATATTTATGAAACATTTTCAAAATATTTTAATTGCATTTCATACCTCCAATTTTAATGTTATAATAACATTATGTCTTTAAGTTCGTATAATATTTCAATATAAAATATTTATAATATTCTTTTGAAATTATAATAAATTATATTTGCAATTTTAAATATGTTTTAACGTATATTATATGATATAAAATAATTTCAAAATACACAAATAAATAAAACAAAGTCAAAAGTATTCACTTTCAAATATTATATATTAATAATATAAATTAATATAATATAATAATAAAATAAAAAAAATAATAGCATTGATATAGTGCATGATATCAGGAATGGTATTTACTTAATACCAACAACATAAAAAATATTTAAAAAATAATAATAATAATAATAATAATGAAAAAATTAAATATTATATAAAATAATTATAATGCGTATTGTCCAGATTATTTAATGTCTATTATGTAGCATTTGCTTTGCTTAAAATCCTAAATTTGGCATGGGCCAACCAAGTTGATAGTGGTGTGTCAATGTCCTTGTCAATTATGTTTTTATACTTTATGTTAACCCTTAAAGCATCTAAAAATCAAAAATAATATTAAATATTAACAATATTAGTAAATATAATAATAGTAAAAATTAAAAAAAATTATAAATATTCACCAATGATTAGACGATAACATCCAAGCTTTGAAAATTTTTTTTTTTTTTTAAATCCCAATAGCGAGTAACTTTTTATAAGTTCATCTGAAAACATTTTCAACATGATACGTCGTACACTATCTCCAATATCTTTATTTCCAACTAATAAAGCTAGCTTTGATACCTAAAAAATGAATAGTTAAGCTGATTTAATATATTTAATATAATACATATATATTTACTATTTATTTTAAATGAGTTCTAATGCATACCATATCAGGTCTAAAATTTTTATCACATAGCAATTTTTGTTCAAAATTATCAAGTTCATCATCTGTCTTAAGAGGGAATATTTCATCGATATTAATTGATTGTGTAATATTGTTTGCCAAGTGTGCTGTGATGGTTTCACCAGAAGTATTTAAAAAATTTTGTAATGCAACATGTGATGCATTCAATGTATTGCTCATTGTGATTTGATCATACCTACTTTAATTTTGTTAAAGTATGTATAACAAAGTTTTGGAATTCTATTGTAAAATAAAAAATTAATTTGCAAATATTATTATATACAATATATTATTATGATACAATTATTTCTACTTAATTTTTTAAAAATTATGTATTAATATCGTGCATATTATATTATAGTCATAGAGAACAAATATAGATACTCGTCTACAAAATATATTTTAAGTTTAGTGACCATGTAGGACAATGATCATCAATATAATAGCTGATGACGTTTTAAAATAATAATATTAATATTAGAAAATAAATAATAAGATAACAAAAATTTTAATAATAAAAATTAAACTTATGTGAAAAAAGCATTCATTTTTTTTTTAATTCTAATTTCTTGAATCTTATCGATCATTTATTTTCTCTGTGACCGTATGAAAGGAATAATTAAAATAAATAATATATTCATATAAATATATTGTTATCATGATCTGATGAAAATAATAAATATTGTTTGCCAGTAGTGTATTTACGGGAGGGGGCGAGGTCTAGGGATACTGGACACCCCCTAAGCAAATAAAAAAAACAGATATGTTCCTGAAGCATAATTAAGTAATAAGTATAGAAATTATACATTTATAGTAATATATTATTCTGACAACGATTTCCATGCAGCAGCTTAATTTTATAATTTTTACAAACTTTCATAATTCATATTAATTACGTATAGGTAAACTGTGGACCGCTGCTTCCCCCAGAAATATGCCAGTAATGTTGTTTTATTTAAATATGAGCATTGGCGCGTACTTAATACATTATAAGAATATTTAAATGTTTTTATTATTACAATTAAAAGTAAATTTATTAAATATAAATAATTTACATTTATTTAAATTGTACATACCTGCAGTAGTCATTAGAGGCACATCATTTATTGGTGAAGCAATAGTAGTGAGGTTACTTGAGGAAGACAGTTCACCACTCACCACAGTGGCATTATTTGTTGATACAGTAGTAGAAGTTTGAAAATATTTTTTAGTTTTCTTGCAATCTTAAAAAAATATCACAAAATTGAATAATAGTTAAATAAATTATAAGAGTATACACAATAATTTGTAAATAAATTAATATACATTTTGAAGTCAATATGGACTGATGTTAAATACAATATAGGTACTAATTACTATAATAATAAATATGAAAGGATCTAATAAAAATAATAGAATAATTTTTACTACATTTTATACCTGAGAAGTGTGAATTAAGAAATAATGATCTTTTTGCAGGCACTAGTTTTGGTGTTATTGCTTCAGTAGGCATTTGCAGAATGTCATCGGTGGTTTGTAGTTCCTCTAGATTCAAGTCACTACAGACTGAAGTTTCAAACTCAATTATTTCATTTATAGGAGGTGATTTTTCAATATGAACTGAGCTCTCTGTAATTTAACAAAAAAAAAAAAATGAGTTTCTCACTGTTTTCACATTTCTCAATCTGTGGTTGCTATCATAGACAATAGACAATAATAATATGACACTAAAGAGGTTAAGAAATTATGCATAAAGGAACATTGTTAATATTAATAATTAAAAATTTAAATAATCATACCATTTAATACTAAAGGTAGTTCATAAGATGGATCTTTATCTGAGTCATATAATATACTATCAGTCTCTGAACTTGAATCAGCTTTTGTAGATATATCAATAGCCGGTCTTCTTCTTGTAGGTGATAATGTATCATGTCTTAAGGAAGGAGGACTATCTATTTTGTTTTTATTATAGCTACAACCTTGAATATGCTTATCATTTGGTGTATCCTCGTTAGTAGATAAATCTGATAGATAAACGGCTTTCTTGGACTTTTTACGAGCTTCTTCTAAGTTTTCTAAACATATAATTAATAAATAATAACCATTAGTCATGTATTAGATATTCACTTATAAGTTATGTTATAACTATGAGTTTTTTTACCGTATGATCTTCCCAAAGTTCTGGATGGAATCCATTTGAAATTTATTTCATCAGGATTTTTTTGCTTCTCGATATATTTTTTTACTTTAGTTTTGACAAGAGGCCATGCGCATAATTTTGTTTCTTTATTGAACCATGTAACTGGTACTGATTCAACACTGTCGTCACCAAAAAAATGGACAACAATCCACATGGTTGTTTTTCTACATATAATATAAATATTAATAATATATTTTATAAATAAAAATAAAGTTGTATTTACAAATCAGTAGTATAAATTTATATTTTTCTGAGTAGGTATATCAAACAATAAGAAAAAATTAGTAATATTTACAAAAATGTATTAATTCAAGAAATTTAAGCAGTATGTATTATAGGCATAACAACTGAATTCCCATTATGTGCAATTAACATCATTTTTTTTTTTATGTTATTAATTGTACAGGTTTTTAAGCTTTGTGTTAGATCTTTTACAATATATATGTCAAATTCTGTTGAATCCGTTGGCTTGTCATGAAACAATGTTTTTGTTTTAAAATGTTTTCCAATCAACACTAGGTCAGTTTTTTGTTTAACTATATTCAAGCACTTAAAAACTTCTCTATCTGTGGTTAGAACATAGCTATCTTTATCAAATTTTGTATTTATTTGAATATTTTTCCAGATTAACTTTTTATACTGACATCCATTTAAATTATTGATTAATGGACCATTATTGTGAGGTAGTAATAATATTGGATGATTTGTTGGATTTTTAGATAAGCTAAGGGAATTGTGACAGTATATTTCTGAGTATCGGTTTATGACTTGTTCGAGTGGTTTTTCGTGTTTTCGTATTTTAGATTTTAATTCTTTCATATAGTTTTCGAAAGGAAATGCGCTGCAGTTATCAAGAGGACCATAATATTTAAAATCATCACACAAATGTGATAAACCATGAATATTGTGAGAATTATGTTCACGACCATATAATATTTCAAATGTTTTTATAAAATATTCTAAAAGTTCTTCGGCATATGGTAAATAATGTTGAAGATTTGGACTAAGTAGTATTATCATAGAAATATTTAATGACATGAAATGATTATAGCAATTATCGTTAATAATATTTTTTAGTACAATAGGTCCTATGTACAATAAAAATAATCTTAACTCCGTAGCTTTCCATCTGGATACTTCTTGAATTTCTCTGGTTTTTCTAACAAAGTCTGATGGAATATAACACTTGACAGCCAATAGTGCTTCTGTTAATTTGTGTACATCACGACTTGGTAGACGAACATTCAACGGTCCTTTATGTAACCACAGCCCAATCAATTTTTTAACGACTCCGAGACAAACAAGATGCATGTAATCAAGGGTAAACATACGAACCAAATCGATCCCTGGCAACTCAACAAGGTTTGAAATAGACTCGCTTACATGATGGTCTTCGTATGTCATATTTTCATATGTTTTGTGTGTTCTTTTAGTAGATTTACTATTAGAATATGGAAAACAAATACGATTTTGATAATGTTCACCTTCTGCAATACATCGGTTACAAGAGGAATATCCTGAGTGACCTTTAGTTTTTAATAAAAAAGATTTTGCTGGAGCATCACACACACAACTATAAATTATCACTTTTTTAATACAGCCATTAATTTCTATACCATTTGTTATAAGATCTTTGGTTTCGGCAACAAAATCTAATAAAAAGTCATTACTGTCTTTTGGTTTAGATTTGCCAAAGTAAATGCCAACTGGAAATACATTTTTGTCCATTCCAACAATATATGCCATAATTGGCCAAAATTGACTATTATTGCTTTTAGTTAATGGTAAACCATCAACCCCAATTGCAATTTTTATTTCTGTTAAACTACTACTTGTAGCATATCGTCGAATTCCTTCTGCCAATCCAAAATGATAATATGACCCTGGAATAACTGTACGAATATATCGCTCTGCAGGTTTCAGTGTGGCTAAAAGTGTTCTACTATCATATGGCAAATCTTGGGTATTTATATTATCTTGTTTCTTCATTAACTTCAATAATTTATTTATAGTAGCATTTGGAATATTGCATTCGACTGCCCAAATTCCCAAATTTTCATTAAATGAATTGCAAGATGAATTGTTTATTTCACTTACTGCTGAAAAAGGATTTACATTATGGTCTTCATTACCTAACAGATCACCAAAAGTGGATACAGTTATAGTTTCTTGATCATAAGGTATAGAAGTTGTCATTTGTGATGAATTATTTGTTCCTTTTGATGTTGATGGCATATTAATAATTTCACCCGATTGATTGTCTTCTGAATTTTCTACCTTACTCACATTTATTTCCTCTGTTGCATAATTATTATTTGCAGATGTATTGGTTTCATTACTATATAGATTATTAATGAAATCTAGTTCTTGTCGAATATTCCTATTTTTTGACCTTTTACTTTTGAACATTATCTAAACAATTATAATAATAATAATCTACCAAAAATAAATTATAAATAGTATAAAACATTAATAATTATATTTTAAGTGTTATTTACAAATAAATGCAGTATATTCAATATAAGTATAGATACTTACATAAACGCTTATATATATATATATATATATATATATAATATATATATTATGTTAATATGTTATACAGCTGGTACAGTGTACACACACAGTACAAATTCGAATTGAAACACTAAAAAAATATTTAAAAATCAATAAATTATTAACAGCTATATAATTAATAATACTATATAACATTATATTATACTTATAATACCTCAAAAGAGGCTGAACAGATTTTAATAATAGTTATATCAATAGATTTTTATTGAGATTCGGGAGATGTTTTAAGCTTCTTTTTTTAACATCTATACCGTTGCTATACCCAATAAATATTAAATACCCCAAGCATACCCAAGTGGCAAGTACCTACACTAATATCTACTTTTTAAAATAACACACATTTATAATGCACATTATACTACAATACCTATATAATACACAATATAATACATATTTTTATTTTAAAATACATAATACCAAC